GTCACTAAGAAGTATATTCCCAAATTGTCTCCTGTTCTCTCTAGACTGTATAATAAATGCCTTACTGCTCTCAATTTTTATTTCATGGGTGACTTTTGCTGGATTTCACAATTAATTTTGATTATTCCCAAATTTATTTCCACGTTATAAAAATTGTTATTGTACCAAAAAATTTGTTGCAAAAAAAAAACTAATAGAAAATATCATGGAAAACAATGAAAACTTGGCAATCCAAAATTTCAGGATCATAGGTCCAGATCTGGGACAGAATGTTTTTAATTTGCTCACAGGGTCAGCCGGATTTCAAAATAGTATGATATATTGGGCTATGGCCTCTAGGATTAAAGTTGAAAATACGGACAATTTTATTTTGAAATACTAATTTGAAAACAGTAATTTTTCTATTTGAACAGGAGCTATTGAAAGTTAGAGAGGTGTATCCCTTTAATTGTTTTATCAGTAGAAGCCAAGATGGCAGAATCTGAAAACAATTGCAGTAATAAAAAATTTCAGGATTGCAGGTCTGAATCTGGCCCAGAATGTTTTTAATTTGCTCATGGAGTTGGCCTGATTCCAAAATGGTATGATATGTTGGGCTACAGCCTCTAGGAGTAAAGTTGAAAAAGTGTGACACAATAACATTCGCATTTATTATATATATATATATATATATATATAAAATTATGTTAATCCAACAATTAAGTTTCAAAAGAAATATTCAGACATAGTATTGTAGTATGAATTGTTTAAATACCAGACTGACCAGAAATGAAAGGTCTTTTGTTATATTTCCCTAAGTTTGCTTGTCATGAAAATTTCCCTCCCAAAAATTAAAATTCAGATCTGTCAATCTTCTGAGTGTTGCTTTCTCACAAAACACTCACAATTACTTATTGAAAAGGCTGATTTTTATTTACTTAAATAAGATACAAGGTTTCAAACAAAACAGAAAAAATATTCTTAAAAACATCAGAAACAGTGGAGGAGAAGCAAAGCTAAATTCAAAATATTTCAGCATGCAAACTGAGATAATACAGAAGTGAAAACCTTCCCTAGACAATTTTTTATCTTAATTCATATTGTACTTATACTTCTTAAAATTTCCCATGTACAAGAATGTCGTCTTTGATAAAAGTTAAAAAATAATAATAAATACTTAAAAAATTTGTATATTGTTGAAAATTCCTTTTTTTTCACAATATAGCTTTTGTGCTATGTTATAATGCTTATTACCTAAACAATAATAATACTGCATAAATTTTTTTAAACATTAAAATATATTTAATCACATATCCCTAATAGCTATCACGATCTGTTAATGTATTCATGTGACTATGTGTTTTTTGTTTATAAGAAAAATTTCTACTTTTTATACAATATAAGAATATTATCAGTATTAAGACACATTTGATGATTTTCTGCTTTTGTAAAATAAAAAAATGTTCTCTTGCTAAAATCAGAATCAGTAAAACTGGTATTTTAAATAAAATGTATTCAGCAGTACAAATTAAAAGACTGTATTAAAAAGAAAAATGCATAAAAAGAAAAATGCATAAACAGAAAAGACAAAAAAAAAGATTTTGTTGTCAAAGAACCACCCTCATTGTTATTTAAAAAAATAAAATTAAAGTAGGGAGTGCAGTGTAAAAGGGCCTATGAATATCAAATTACTAGTAGTTGAAAATCCAACAGAAAATTTAATGTTGCTGTTGTTGGGTGGGGGGGTTCAAAGCAAAAGCCCACCATGTCAAGAGATTGGATAAAGAGCTATTTTCAAGCAAAAATAAGCTCACTAAAAAAATAAAGTTGCAAATTCAAAGAGTTTTCCTTTCCTATTTAAAAAAAAAAAAATACAAATCCTGAAAAGATTAAAGAAAAAAAATTCTGCTTCATAAATTCAGCTTTTTCAAGGTTATGTGACAAGATTAACATTTACAAACAATAAGCACATAAATCAGTTTTAAGGGCATGTTGACATCTAAAGGAGTCACTGGCAGGTCTATTGAATAGCTACAACAACTGATGTAACATTTTTCTTTTTTATTCCTTATTTTTTTTAGTAGTAGTATAAAGTGATCAAGTTTTTATTTATGGATTATAGATATAATCAAAAAAAAAAAAGATCTATTCTCAGTAATAGACAAAATTAAATTTGCTAAAGCTACCAACAAACTATAGCAAAAAAATGCTAAAGGACATTTCAATGATCAAAAACATCTGATAAAATAATTATCAAAGTAGATAAAACAGGTAACCATTATGAAATCAATGTGGATATATTCCACAAAGAAGTTAATAAGATTTATAAAAAGGCACCCAACAACTAGGAAAATAATGTCAATAGTGTAGCCAAGCAATTAGCCACTGTATTAAACATTGATGATAGGATTTAAAAATTCCACAAACAACAAGCATTCATTACAGTTAAAGACCACAAAGCTACTTTCTTAAACAACCCACAATACTGATTACTCAACCCAACTAAAAATAATATTGGTCAAATAAGCAAAAACATCCTTGAAAGAGCATGCAAATACATGAAAGATGCTCTAGGAATTAACTAGTGGCATAAAACAGCAGAAGCCATAGAATGGTTTACTGATAAAAAAAAATAGGAAGAAAGAATGTACATTCATCCAATTTGATATTTGTGATTTATACTCATCCATCACCGAGAATCTGCTATCAATTTAGCAAACAATTACTGTTCTATTAGCGATTTTGAAATCAATATCATAAAGCAAGCACAAAAACCTATATTATTCCATAATGGTTATTTGTTGACCAAAAGAAATAACACAGAATTTAACATGCTCTGAGAGCATATGATTCTGTGGAGAAAAGTGAATTTGTTGAAATTTTGTTATTATCATGACTAAGATTTATTTTCAACATTAAGAACACAGGACTCTATAGAGATGACTGCGTAATTCTCTTCTGTAAAACAAGTCCAGGAAATATAAACCAATTGACAAAGGAACTGTTAAAATTTTTCAAAGATCATGAGTTAAATATCACCACTAACACCAATGCTAAAGTGACCAACTTTCTTGATGTGACCATGGACTTGAATACTGATTATTACAAACCATATACCAAAGATTTATATAACTATAGATACATCAATAAGGAAACAAACCCCGCCTCATAACATTCTAGATAATTTATATAAATCACTCCAAGTTTATCTTCCAACTGAAAGGAAATATTTGATAATAATATTAAATATATAAAAGCTTTATGTTGTGGATCCCGCGTGAAAAATAGGTATCCAATAAATGACAAACGCAAGTATTTAAGCTAAGAAATTAAATGTATTTACACAAAATACAAAAGGTAATGCTGTTAGTAAAATCCAGGAACATGGTTAGTAGCAAATACAGATAGATATATACAGTCTCGAAGTAGGACTTCCTTAGAGTCTACGTGCTTGTAACTGACTTCTACAAGAGGTTACTTCACTCTATCCGACTACCGACACTCACAGACGACTCCGGTACGACTCATGTACAACTCCTCTTCTCTGCCTGATTGTGGCTATTTTATGGCAGCAGGATGAGTCTATTATATCCGAAAAGGGTGGACCCCATAACACTTTAAAACTAAGCAACCATAAAGTAGATTCAGGGTATTTAGGAAAAAAAAAAAAAAAATGTTAAAAGTAAATAAACACAAACACCATAGGTATAACATATGGTTTAACCTACCTTTTAATTGTAAGTTTCAAATGAATATCAGAAGAATTTTCCTAAATTTAATTCATAAGTACTTTAATCATTCACCAACACCAGAAAAGACTTTAACAAAATTAATGTTAAGATCAGCTATAGCTGCATTAAAAACATCAATAAATCTATATCCCAACATAATAATATTATATTAAACAAATATATGTTCAACAAAGATAATTTTTTAAAAAATAGTTGTGATCTGTCCCTTAAATGGTCGATGCATGACTGATAATATTGTTTACTGAGGTAGCATACATTCCGGTAACAATGTCAAATTGTATTTTGGCTCCACTGAAAATCCTTGTAAATTTCGTTTCTAACATCATCAAATGACTTTAGGCAATGTAAGATAAAAAGCATTGCTCTCTCAGACATTTTTGGTAATTGAGGAATGGTGGTAATACACCCATTATTACGTGGGATATTATAGCTAAAGCCAAATCTTACAATGGGAAAGGTGATAGATGTAATTTATGCCTTGTTGAAAAATGAGTTATTTTAAAATACTTAAAAAACCCTAGCTTATTAAACAAGAGACATAAATTGATGTTAACATGTAGGCATAAAAATAATTATCTGTTGAAATGTTGATCCAGATTAATTTTTAATGTAAATTATGTTTTGTTTTTTTTTTTAAAAAAAAGAAAAGAAAATACAAACAAAAGCAAAACAGTGATCTCCCGTTATGCTTAAAATAAAAAATTAATATTCACAACTCCAATTTTTTTTTTTTTGAACATACATTTATAAATATAATATAAATCCTGGTTATTTTAGGTAACAAATACATTTTTTTAAATTGTAAACTGTAATCTCCATATAATATTTGACTGTACCAACATATTTTTATTAAAATTTAAAATATGTAGCAGTCAGTCTATACTCAGCAGCTGAAGATTGTGCTATGTATGAAACTATGAGTTGTGCTACCAGTGAAGGATATGTATATTTATTAATATATAATTAATAGCTGTTTTATTAACACCAACTCGCTCTCTCATATATATTATATATATATATATATATATATATATATATATATATATATATATGTGTGTGTGTGTGTGTGCATACAATAATAGATTTTTACATGTGGACAAAAACAATTTGCAATGGGTAATTGTTTTTGTCCACATGTAAAAATCTATAATAAATAATTATTGCTCTACTCTTGTTATTGAGCCCTCTTTTGAATTAATGCTGTGAATGATAGAATTTATATTATTTTCGTTCTCTTTTTTTTTTATATATATATATATATATATAAACAGCCATATTATGTTGAAACCCTGGTTCTCATGTGATCACCAAAGTTAAGCAACATAGAGCCTGGTTAGTACATAGATGGGTGACTGCTTGGGAATACCAGGTGCTGTAAGATTGGGTGGTGTAATGGATAATGGTTTGAAATAAGAAATTGGAGAGCCTAGCTTGAGTTCAAATTCCACTCAGATTTATTACATGCACTTATCCACTAATACCCCTGGGCGATGATGACTCAAAAAAAGATGATGGATGAGGCAGTCAAGGTTACTTGGGAGTCACATCAAAATAATTGGGGATACACTCATGTGGAGACCGTTTGTGGAGACTGGGATGTGACCTGAAGGTATTTCTAACTGGGCCCTATTTGCAAGGTTATGCCCTGCTTTTATCAAAACCTGCCATCCTATTGCACACATTTAACTATGATGCATATGCCTGGTATACCAGAGGCTATGACAGGTAAATTGAGTTTTGCTAAAACTACCATTCTTGGTTGAGCATTAAAAAGGATTTTGACCTTTTACCTCAATATCTATTGAATGTAACCTCCAGTTTCATCAATCTAGTATATCATCTGAGAGACTCATTATTAATTCTAAAGCTCTTTTGTCATCATCTAATGAATACTTAATATAGTAGACATGTGTTGTGTTCTCTCATGTCCAGATATCCACTGTCTCAACCAGTTGTCTTTGCCATGCTGCATTAATACATCCAGACAGATCTATTTCATTATTGTCATCAGATGTTAGAAACATTTTGCATAGCCATGGAATTTCCACTAGCCAGATGGCCCCTTATCATCTTTACGGCAATGGGCAGTGTGAAAAGTATAATAAAATTATATAGCAGATATTAACCCTTGCACTCAAATCATGCTTATCAATGTCTCATTAGGAACTTGTCCTACAGGATGCATTGCATTCAATATGTATTCTGTTGTCAAGTGCACCTTCCCATGAATGGTTATTTAATCTACAATACTGATTGACTAGTAAATGTTCTATTAATTGTCCTCACATTAAGCTGCTCTTAACAAACATCATATCAGAAAATCTAAACACAGCAAATGTTAACAAAAATTAAAAAAAAAAAATTTAAACTCTTCAAGACAAATCCTCTTTATACCCACATTCATGTTCATAATGTCAAAGATACAAACATATTACTGTGATTTAACTCCAGCATGTTATTTACAAAATAAACTGTCTGAAATTCAAGATTCAGTCCTGATAACCTGAATACATCAGATAACACTATGAGTTGTGCTGAGGATTCTGACACAAGTGTTGAATGAAATTGAATCTATTGCTCTTGTTGATGAGTTATTTATTCCTTGCCTAACAGATGATCATTTATCCTGATAACCAGGATCCATCACACCAATCTGTACATGTATACAAACCCTCTCAGCATCTAAATTCATCATTTTAGTGATATATTTGTCTTTAGAAGTCATTAAGAGAATTTAGTTTTTAACTTCATTCAAAAAGATCACTTCTGATTGTATTGTGGCAGCTGATATATAAGTATGCATGAGAAAATTAGTTAATTTTTGTTTATATACAACATTGAAGAAAATCCGCAGTATTTTTAGCATATTATACTTTTATTTAAAGGAAAGTAAAAATAAAAGGGGCTATAATATTGCAATTTTTAGAATAACTGAATAACAGAATATGTCAAAAGTGTTTTTTTTTTGTAAAGTTTTGTACTGGAGCTTTATCAGTGAATGCTGTTTCATATCGTCTAGAATATTTGAAGTCAATAGCAATCAAATGAATACATTATTCAAGAATAATCAATGTTATATGACACATGAGACAGCTAACATGCTTAAAATCCAAATCAAGTAATGGAAATCATTTGCACTCATTTTGGTTAGGTTACTCATTTTGATGTGTGACTTCTACATCAATTAAGCAAAAAAACATACTCAACTATATTTATTTGGTCCATTTTTTAAAACTGTGATTAGTAATGAAAACTGGGTACTTCACAGTAACATAGAATAAAAAATCATCAAGTCAGCAAAATTAACAACTACAAACTGTACCAAACACTGTCCTTCATCCAAAGGCAATGCTGTCCATATGATTGGAATGAAAAGCTTTTTCTGGAGAATCAAACAATTGATTCAAATTGTTACTGCAGTTACCAAAAAGTGTACATCCAAAATTAGTTAGGAAAAAATGTGCAGTATTCAACAGAATGATGTTAGACCACATGCTCTTTAGTAATGGGTCAAAATTGCTCCAGAATGGCTGGGAAGTTTTCACTTATCTGCAATATTTTGTACTTTTGGATTATCATTTATTCTCATCTTTATAGAATTCTCTTAATGAAAAGAAATAAATTCACTGGAAGACTGCAATGGGTAGAATTATGGAATTGTTTGAAAAATGGTAGGAGATAGAACAAAATGGTTAAAATCTTAATGAAAATTGCATAATAAAAGGATATTTCATGTTAAAATGTCTGTTACATTTATTAACACATTAACTGCTACAGGTCAATTATGAGATCTGACTTCAAATGCCAATGTTATACTAGCCAATAATAAATAAAATTTCAAAATGCTTTGTTTGTGTTATATTTTCAATAAATTTTTCCCATGAAATGTTTGATTTTAGTTGCCAGTGCAATTTTTCATTCTTCTCTTAGATGCCGGGTACCAGTTATTTGTGTTAAAAACAATAAAAAAAACTTGTTATTCTAAACTTGATGGCAAGACCACAAAAACAAGAACTCATTGTAGGGACCACAAGTTAATCTGCGGTTGAAAGTTAATGTGTTAATAAAAATTAATTAATAATTATTATTATTAATATAAGACATTTTAGTCAAATGAATATTACACATGTGCATTATTCTTCTTGAGGAAAATTGATGGCAGCAAGTAAAATTGGATTCCAAAGTGAACCATGTAGAATCACCTTTATTCTATTCTTACAAGATTGTATCTTGAATATGATAATTAATTAGACAAAATGCAGAGAGGATTAGATTTATGTCTTTACTGATGACATTATCCTTTAAGGAACTAGAAACTGGTAACCAGTATCAACAACTTTTACCAAGGCCAGTTAATATCATTTTCCATACATTGAACACTCCAACACCAATTCACATGCAAAAGAAAATTAATCCTAATGCTCTTTATAAGATCTACATAGCAAAATTTTATTTGGTTTAATCTAAGGTATCACAATGAAATGAGAGAGAGAGAGAGAGAGAATATACAGTTAAGAAGACAAGAGAGAGAAGAATGTGACAAGATCAAAATGATTTTAAAGTAACTGATAAAATGGAAGCTCAGTGGAAATTAAAATGAGCTGTTTTAAAGAGGATCAATTTATCTTCTACTTCAACAAAATAAAGGTCAAAAGATTGACATTAAAAGTTTACATACATATTCATTTAATATACAATACAGAAATGTTCCTGTTCCATGTGTAGACATCAATATGTATAAAAAAAAAATAGATATATTCTTAGTTCTATATGCAAACATCACTATAAAAATAGCTAAGAGAGAAACTGAATTGGCCTCTTACCTTCTTACTAATGTATCTGGCTAAGACAGTAAGTGATGTCCTTAGATTTAACTTTCTTGCTGGAAAGGTCAAATTGAAAACAGTGGTCACTGACATTGCCACTTCTACCTCATTTGCTAACACCTAACATTTATATGAGTAGGTGTGTGTAACACAAGTTAATAGATACTACACCTACTTCCAGCAACATTTTTTTTTTTTTGACTAACCAAATTTAAATAATAAGAGGTAAGAAAGCTATTGACATTTTTATTTACAAATAGTAAATATTTTGCTGCATACCAAAAATTTACCTTCCTGGTAAAAGTGAACAAAGTGGTACTATTCATCTATTCCTAGTAGATAACTCTATATTATGACATTATATTGTGTTTACTTTTACATTTTTCTCACTCAATAACTGGTTAATTGTGCACATGTGCACAAAAAATAATTGCAACAACTGAACAATGGACATGAGGAGATAAACAGGAGGGTGTATAAAAGTAATTTAAGTTTAACAATTTGAGGTGGGGCAAGCAGGATTTTCATTCACATTGAAAAAATTAAACTTGAATGGATGTTTCTTTTGTTTTTATTATTTTTTACTCATGAAGAAAATAATCTAGAGAGAGAGAGAGAGAAAAACTGCTTGTCAACTGAATTACTTTGGAAAAATGTAGCAAAAATATATAAGGCAAAAATAATAGCATTTTAGATTTAATATAAAAATGAAATGAAAATCTTCAGATGTTGTAGATATTCAATATAGTGAATTTATAACAAGGTATTAATAATAAAAAGCAAAAACAAAAAAAAACAAAAAAAAACATTATCATTAATTATGCTTTAAACCTCTCCTGGATCCATCAGCATTTACATCCATGCATATTTGTGCTTGCAGTCATGTGATATTAAATTTACATCTCAATTCAGTTTAACTGTTGTAATTGTGACTTTAAAATAACAACCATTTCAAAATACTTTCAAGGTAAAATTGATAAACTGAATACAGGAATCAAAAGATCAAGCTTTAGATGATAAAAAAAAATTAATATTAACTTGAAGTCCTTGAGATATTTGCAGATATTCTTCCCAAAATAATGATAATACTTTTAATTCTTGCAAATGTAAAATGTTGACACAGAAAAGTTCAATAATATAAGAATAATATTTCTCCTCTTATTTTATTTTTTTTTTAAGGAAAACCTGAGCTTGTTTCAATCATGGTAGTTTGAAAACCATCCTGAAGAATTTGGGAGTGAAGCTGAGAAATGGCACAGAACCAGATTAGACAATAATTGAAGCAAGATGTACTTTTATTTGCTCTAGGAATTCAAGAAGTGCTTGTATGCCTATTGAAATAGGTTATATTTCTATTCCAAAAACTTTATACCAAAAAGAAAAGGTTGAAATGAGTGTTAAAGAAAAAGAAAAAAGACATATATCAATTCATAATAGTCATATAATACTAAACAAGTTTTTATAAAGTTTGTCTTTAATGAAGTAACAATTTTGAATAGAATGATGATGACCTTCATCTGTCCATTAAAGGAATGTTCAACTTTTTCAACTGCAAGGCTTGATTAACTATGGAGAACCTAACTACCATAGATACTAAAATACTAGTCCAGAGGTAAATAAAATATATTTACTATATTTATTAATATTTGGGACAGGCAGATAATTTCTTTGGATTTGTTTTCCTATTGGCCTATGAAAAAAAAAATTGAATGGTGGTGAGAGAGGGATTAAAGAACAATTAAGTAAAAATTATTCCATTAAAATTATAAATGAAGACTACAGAAATGTAAGGGAAAAGGAGATTGTGAACATTTAAATAGATAGAAAATGAGAAAAGATAGAAACAGAAAATGAGAAAAGATAGAAACAGAAAATGAGAAAAGATAGAAACAGAAAATGAGAAAAGATAGAAACAGAAAATGAGAAAAGATAGAAACAGAAAATGAAAAGATAGAAAAGAAAATGAGAAAAGATAGAAACAGAAAATGAGAAAAGATAGAAACAGAAAATGAGAAAAGATAGAAACAGAAAATGAGAAAAGATAGAAACAGAAAATGAGAAAAGATAGAAACAGAAAATGAGAAAAGATAGAAACAGAAAATGAGAAAAGATAGAAAAGAAAATGAGAAAAGATAGAACAGAAAATGAGAAAAGAAAATGAGAAAAGAACAGAAAATGAGAAAAGAAAATGAGAAAAGATAGAAACAGAAAATGAGAAAAGATAGAAACAGAAAATGAGAAAAGATAGAAACATTTGAAGAGAAAGAGAGTGAAGATAGAAAGAAAATAAAGAGAAAGAGTAGGAAGCAAAAAATGAATATAAAAATTAATGAAAGAGAAAAAGAGATATCAAAGTATGTAAGAGAGAAAATTCTCTCTCTCCCTATTTAAAAATTCAAAATAGGATAAGATGAAAATAAAAACAGACAAGATTGAATAGTCAAACAAGTAATACTATTTTCTGTTATTACATAAATACCCAAAATAGAAATTAAAAAAAATAAATTTATTTGTATGAAAATATAGTATTTCACCATTAGATTCCATTTAATTAACAGCCAAAAGATTCCAAGGAGGAGGAACTTGAAACTTAATACAAAGCATCTTTTATTAGAGAATAAAAAAAAACTTGAGATTGGTGATATTTCAAGGGCAAATCAGGTAAATTACACTTAAACCGATTTGAAGAGTAAAATAAACAATTGTAATTATGAAAAAGCTTTTATAGAATATTAATTTGACATGAGAATGATGAGGAGATAATAAGTAGCTTATCAATTATCTTTTGAGGCTTTGAGTTATTCTAAATCCTTGACAAAGAAGGAGGGAACATTACAAATCTACATGTCCAATATTCTAAATATAACAGAAATAAAATAGATTCTATCAATATGACAAAATGTGTGCGTGTGTGTGTGTGTGTGTGTATATTTTTAAGAATAAATATATTTATTTTTAATCTGGCATTTTTATTACTTCAAACATTATTATAGTGGATACTTTGTATTTGAAATAGATAGTGTCCCATTTTTACTTATTAAACAGTATGCACCTTGGTACATTCCAGAGCACTTTCTATTACCAACTGCACTATAGTTGAATCTAACCATTGTATTTTGAGATAATATATATATATATATATAAAATGAAATGGATTAAGTTTGACAATTATTTCTCCTTATATGTTATTTTTATAGATATACTTTATTTAAGTAAATGCTCTGTTTTAAACAGTATTAATTACATTTACTGGCTTGAATGTTTGAGAAAACCCATTAGAATTACAAATTCAATTCCTGCATATTTTCTACAAAATTTCTCAAACATTCAGGCTGGTAAATGTAATTAATACAGTTTAATTAAAAAAGAGAGAATTTACTTAAATAAATTATATCTATAAAAATAACATAAACAGAATATATATATATATATATTTTCTTACTAACTTCTTCCCCACCATGGTGTACAATGACTGGCCATTACTAATAGTTTCATGCAATCATCAGGCTATTGGCAACTGTTTTTTGTGTTTTTTTATACCCCTTCAGCTAGCACAAGATTTTACAAAGATGCTTTAGCTGATGTGTACATAATGTGCATACACCAATTAAACTCACGAAGGGGAAAAATGCTCATAAGGCTAAGATGGTAAATGCCAAAGAATCACCATTACTTTGAAAGAATAAAAAAAACAAAGAACTAACACCATAAAAGAAATCAAGTGTCTAGAAAGTGGATAGCATGGGAAACAATATGGCCTTGGCAAAGGAGTATAATGCTAAAAGCAAAATAATGTTAGACAATACTGACAAGAGTCAGGCTCTCAAACTTTGAACTGCCAACAGCATAAATGCTAAACTAAAAATCCTACATGCTTGATATACACTAAAAAGTGATGATACTGATGTAGATAAACACATAACCAATTAGTAATTGAAGAGTAAAGGGATTAAAAGCAAAAACAGGCATTTATAATGGCTGCAGAAGATCAAAGCCTATTCACCAGCTAAGTATAATTAAAAAAAACGATGCAGGCCCAATATACCCATTACATCAACAACTGACTGTTGACAACTTAGTGTCTGGTAGTCCAATCCTGACATTGAAGGAATATAAAGATAGACATGAAACAATGGGTAATATAGTCACTGAAAGAGATATGTCAATTTTATAGTACACCACATACTGAAAAAATGATGTCAGTCATAGAAGGTCATGAAGTCACTATTCGTTGAGACTTTACTATTCATATTGACAGTCATATAAAAACTATTAGATCAGACATAGTGATTAAATACTACAAACAAAATTACCTTCTCATAGATATAGCAGTTCTATTAGAAAAATGATCTGTTAAAGAATATAACAAAATAAGTAAATATAATGATCTTGAAAATGAAAAAAAAAAATGTAACACCTTAAATCTACCATCATCTCTATAATTGGAGCCCTAGGTATTATTAAGAAAGGCACAAACAAAATTGAAGATGCCTGGCAGTCCCTGTTAACAAGAGATTAAAAACATTCCACTAAGGAGAGCAACATAAATGAAAGGAAAATACAAACACTGTAAATGTTGTGTATCACTTAACATCATAATTTATGCAAGCATATATTTTCTGCCATCAAGTGTTGAGTGGAAGTTGTTGAGGACACCCTTAGAACACTGACATACACAATCTGAAAATGGCTAGATAAAATTGGGGCTGTGATTGAACCTGAGATGATTCAGACAGCCAGAATTCTGAGAAAGGTTTTCTGTTGTCAAAAGAAGAGATAACAGACGCCATTGTCATTTCTATACACTACTGATAATTAAATTATGACATAAGATCTCCTGAGAAAAAGATGATGATGATAATAATAAATATCATTGGTGCCCCTGGGTTGATTCCAAAGAATCTCCAGAAACACCTTAATACCATCAGAATTACACCCAGCATAACAACATTACAAAAAACAGCCATATTAGGCACAGCAAATATCCTTCAGAAAGAACTTGGTGTCTGAGGTCTTGAGACTTGAAAGAAAACCATTTAAAATTATTCCAGTGTTTGAAACCATCACTGTGCAAATTTCAGTAATAATAATAAGATCCCTGGCAACACTGATTTAAAAGAGATTAAAACATTTGCACTATATGGAACTGCTCAGCTATTCCAGAGGTTATTATCAATGAAAAGAAAATATAAACTCTGTACATGTTGAATATCACTTAACATCAGAATTTGTGCAAACAGAATGCTTATGTTTGCAACATTGCCTTACTCTAGGTTTTGGCTAATGACCTCATAAAGGATTGTACGGAACAGAAAGCAGACAAGATAAAGTGGAAAAATATATTTAATGAACCTCATGTGAAAATGTAAGAATAGTAAAGACTTTAAAATATGCCACAATAACTATGAAGTAAAACAGATTATATATATATATATATATATATATATATATATATATATATATATATATATATATATATATACACACACACACAAAGGAGTGATGAAAAGATCTAAGTATAATCTACTTTCCAAAATCTGATCAAATGGCCTTGAGTGTTTGTCTAAAATTTGCTACATTTATGGAAGAAGGATGATTAATATTGGTGATAGAATGATGACAGGCAGTTTCATGCTTTAAGTGATCATCAGAAATACAGATCTACATACTAAGAGGTGCTGAAAAGATTTTTGACATCACAACCAAAAAAGGATTCTGGAAAAAATATGATGCATGGTCAGTTTTTTTCAGAAAATGCTTTTGTTAAAGAAACATGAAACTAATCACATTTTAATATTTCATTATAACAAGATGTTTTGTCTGTCAATGGAGAGCACAAGACACAATTGTTACGTGGTAGTGATGAAAAGTGAAATTTGAGGAGAGTGATTTGAGCTGAGAACTTTTCAGCCTCTCACATGATTAATACAAACTTGCAGTTAATGAAAGAGATTGAATTGAAAAATGAAAAAAAAAAAAAAAAACCCAAAACAGAGGAGCTTTCATATGTATAATGGAATTCAGAAAAGTTCTTGGCCTACTGAGGTACTTTCTAAAATTTGATGAAACATCAAAATTTGGAGAAAATCTCTTCTTCATCAAGCGACAAACTTTTCCCCATTTACACAGAGCTGTGATTCAATTTCTCTTAATAAGTGAACAATTCTGATTCCATATGAATGATACAAGTTTGAAATAAAAGCATGTTATTTCTGCCTAAAGCAGTAAAATTGGAAACTGAGGAAAAAAAAAAACAAAAAAAAAAACAAGCAAACAACACATAATAGTCCAAGAGAGAATCATTGTATGAAGTGTTGATTTTATTTCAGGATGAAACATATTTGTTTAACAGAAAGACAAATTTCTCTTAGGAGATGAAATACCAACTTGAAGCAGCAAAAAAATGTCAGGGCACAACAGAAGCTTATAAAAAATTCAACCATAAAAGAAAAAAAGCAACAGCCAATTAACAGATGAATGTGCATGTGTGTATATATATATATATATATATATATATATATGTGTGTGTGTGTCAGTTCAATAACTCTAGACTCCTCTACCATTATGAATTCATGCCTCTTTTCTTGTTAGAGAAAAACAAACAGTGTGCAATTACTGTAAATACTTCAGAGTTTAAATAATATTTCTACTCATTGATACATGATACTTTAATAAAAGATAGACAGTTGCTCTCTTAACTCATTTTGTTAGGCATTATGAATGGAAACTATGATGGTGATGGTTGTGTGTGTGTATCAGTCATACCACAGCATTTCTCTCAAGAAGTCTGACCTGTCATCCCAACAAATTGCTATATATAAACATGTAACACAAATCTTGAAGGTTCCCTTCTAATTACCATCAAATTATGGTTAACAATACAACAGGACAATGCTGATCCAACTGTCAAAAAAATGATTCAAAATTTGGGAAGTTATTTCCATCAAAAGAAAGTAACCCACCATTAAGTTTCAACCAGTTCAAATGCTAAAATGCCTTTGAACCATAAAGCTATTTTAGTGATACTAAAACCTATTCCACCACCATAGCATGTGAACCCACATTTATTTTAAACTCAGGTATTAACAACATAAGCAATATCTGATTATCCCTAAACTTCTTTCTTTCCTTGATAATACCACATGATGGTTGAAAGTACTTAGATCATTACATACAATTTCAGTAAGTTCCTTTACAATTTTCAATCCAAAATCAAATATTATTTAATCAACATTAGGAGAAACTAAAATACCTAATAGACATTCTTTGCTCATTCTATTCAATAATAGATTTAGATGAAACATTACAGTCTAAATATATTTAAAAGATAATTTTTGTTCAAACAAGTTTATTGCAATCAACCAATGAAAACTAATTTTTCTTTGCCTTTTTCCAATGTTTATTGTACATCCAAATAAAATTTATGCAGGTCATGTTTTATTCAAATACTTTTGACCATTTCTAGGCATTATTGGGAATATTACTGCTATCAGTATTATAAAGAACAGTTTTTATTAGTTTCATCCTGTCATTTTTAGAAATGCTACTTTTTGAATTTAAATATATTGTATATTTCATATACAAATGGCATCATGTGTAGCTTTAGTAACCATGTAATGGGTACATTTTTAGAAATTTAAAAATAAATTAATTCAACAGGAAACATTTGAAAGCATCAGAGGACAAAGATATTAAATTTTTATACTTTTTGTTTTTTAAAGTCTGCTGCCAAGGTTGAAAGATATTATTTAATGTTTGTTGTTTTTGTATAATGATAGAGTATTTTGAACTTGTCTTTACTGTACTGCATATATCAACTAATATTTATCTTAGCAGTCATATTGACCAAGACTAGAAAGTCAATACGCATATGAACTGCATCACATTTTTATAAGTAGCAAATTAATCTCTGAGAAAGTGTGATGTAGTGGGATTAATAAAAAAAATAACATTTTTTTGATTATTAGTGTTGGAGATGCAATTTCCCCAAAAGATAAGTATTCATAAACAACACATATTTTGATGCTCCATGTTGTTATTGGTAATGATTATGTCTTATATTTTAAACTTTTAGTAATAAATTATAAACCTTAGGTATTTATAAAAAAAACTGAAAAAAATATTAATATTACTTGCAGCATTTTTTATAGTTTTCCCCCAAATCTTCTCTTCTTAAATATTATTTTCCATTCTTATATATATATATATATATATATATATATATATATATATATATATAAGATATAAAATATATCTTATAGATATTTTATTTTTAAAATAGATCACAAATTTTTTTACAAAAATAAAATTAGGGTTTTAAGCTTCTATTTTGAAAATAGTTTGGGAACTGTGTAGCGAAAATAACCATTTTTCAATTAATTTATAATGGTATATTATAAAATCTTTCTTTTAGCAAATTTTTTCTGGATTTATACAAAGTTGGGGAATTTCAGTAATGGTCTCTTTTGCAATTAATATAGGCTTGCATTAATTAGGGTTAACGCTTCTTGGTTATGACCTGTAACACATTAAAAATGTCTTATATAAGAATTTATAAGTCTGTACTTAACTTTGAAGGGACCTATAATTTTAGATCTTAAGATATCAACTGAAATCATTATTCCACCTCCCCACTGTTGTCTTCTAAATCACATTGGTGAGCTATTTCCATGAAGGACCCAACATTCAGAGAATTTTGTAGGGATCGAAATAAGTGGTAATCTGGAGGTCATGTGTTATATAGTAGTAGAACATCCAAACTAAGCTGTACCGATTTCTACCATGTCTGCAAAGAAACAGGTTGGCATTGTTTTGATGGATGATGACATTCAGACTAGCCAATTCTGGATGCTTTACATTGATTGCTACCTTTAATTAGTCCTATTGAGAATAGTATTTGTTTGAATTTAACTTTTGGTTCTGCAAAAGGAGCTTGTAATATACAATGCCCTTCCAATCCCACCAGATACACAGTATCAACTTCTTTGGATGCACATGACTTTTGGAGTGGTTAATGGTAGCTAATTTTGTTTTCTTTCTAAAATCCAACTTTTTGTAAACAATCCATTTTTTATCACCTGTGAGTATTCTTTTCAAAAATGGTTTGGTTTTGTTGTTTGAACAGAGAATTGCAGGTGACAATGAGGTCCATTTGATGTTTTTTTTCATGAAATCCTGAGGCCCAAAGAATTTCAGATGCCATATGACCTGGATTATTTTGAATCAGTGTTTCAATTTGGTCATCATCATCAATAACTGCTGGAATGTTTTCTGCTTCCCACATCAAAATTTCCACATTTGAAGCTAGCAAACGAGATGCTTAGCTATGTCACCATCTTCATAAATGATAATGTTTTATTTGTATAAATAAAAGAGCATAAAATTATGAAAAAGCATCACATTTTTACCAGTCATCTTTGAAGTTAAATCACATGTTCAAACCTCACCTACAATCTGTTCCAACCCAATATATCCTGAAAAGTTTTACCAACATTTGATTAATATTATTGTGAAAACATTGGCTTTCAGAATCAAATTTTAGAGTGTATATAGACACACTAGCCTTGTCTCTTAAAGAAAGTTTTTCATTTTCTTTCTTTTGATTTAAAATATTTGCCTCAATTCTTTGAAAAGGCTGACTGAGCCTTGCCCTGCTGTAAGGACTTCTGTGACTAAAATGGTAACAGCACACCTGGCTAAGGTGGTTTTTCAAATAAAGGGGATGCATGTTTGTTTTTTTTTTGCTAAGGGATGATATATATATATATATATATATATATATATATATATATATATA